CCAAGAAGGCTGCAAATGCTTGGGTAAGGAACCAGAGAAGGGTTATAGCTGTAGGGACTACTTTAGGAAAAAGAGCAGGTGTTTCCCTCCTCTCCTCATTAAGGAAAGCAGAGCTGGATTTGCTCTAGGGGACTTTAGAATGGGTAGAAAAACATTCTAGAGTCCTCATCCCATGCACAAGGCAGTGGTGGGGACTTCTGTTTATCAGGGTGAAAGAAATCTGCATTGGAGAGTGTTACACATTTAGCAGGTAAACGCGGAGTTGTTTCCATGATTGCTGTTTTAAGTGTAGGTTTAATCTTCCTAGCCCTTCCAGAAAACTACAGATAATAGGCATTAGGCTTGTGTGCTTAGGTCACAGACTAGTTGGGGACAAACTGGATTTACTGGTTCAGGAATCTCACCATGACTGATGTCTCTGCAGTGCAATGGGGAGCCACTGGAGGCTTTGAAGCAGAAGAGTGATGTGATCCAACCTTTATTTTAACTGGACCCTTCTGTTGAAAATCGATCAAGGGACTAAGGGTAGAAGTGAGAAAACCAACAGAGAGGCCATTGCAGTCATTCAAGAGAGAAGTGATGGTGTCTTAGACCAGGGTGGGTATCATGGAGGTGGTGAGGAGGTGTCAGATCCTGGATCTATTTTGACAGGAGAGCCAGATGGATTTGTTGATAATCAGATACGGGATGGGAGAGTGAAAGTGAAGTCAAAGACGGCCCTGGGGTTTTTTTGCTCGGGGGTTGACCAGCACGCTGGACCTCGGCGAATGGCACTGCCATTTACTGAGATGGGAAAGGCAGAGAGAAGCAGGTTTTGGAGGGGGGAAGTAAGAGCTGTTTTAGACAAATGAAGTTCGAGAGGCCTATTAGATATTATAGATGTTTAGTAAGCATTTGGATGTGGTCCAGACTGCAGAAAGAACTCTGTTGGAGATAATAAATTTGAGAGTCATCAATGCTGAATATTGATCTTACCAAAAATTACAATACAGCTGTACTGGGAGGAAGGTGGGAGGAAACAGTTTATGCGTGCATGGGGGAGGGCTATATCAGAAGGCAAGTCTTCATCTTGCACAGAAGGAACTCAGTGGTAAGTAGCTAATGGGGGGGGAAATCAAGAAATAGCTGTATAAGCATCACGAGAAGCTATTATCCGTATCACGTCTGCTCCGTATCCTTAAAATTTCCTTCCTCATCTTTTTTAGGATGGGTGTTTTTAAGAGTTTATTTTTCTTTCTTTCTTTCTTTCTTTAATTATTTGTTGTCTACCACATGGAGGCATTCAACAGCCATGTGATTTTTTTAAGTAATCTCCACACCCAAAGCGGGGCTCCAGTTCACGACCCCGAGATCAGTCAGATACTCATCTGACTGAGCTAGCCAGGCACCCTTTTTTTTAATCTCCTTTTTAACAGTTTTATCAAGACACGAGTCACAAACTATACAATTCATCCATTTAAAATGTACAGCGTGGTATGTTTTAGTATATTCATAGAATTGTGCAACCATCGCTACAATTAATTTTAGAATTTTTTTATTATGCCAAAAAGAAACCCTTTGCCCCTTAGCCATCAACCCTCAATCCCCTACCCCTCTCCCCCAGCCTAGGCAACCAATATTCTACTTTATGTCTCTATGGACTGGCCTATTCTCCATGTTTCATATAAACGGAATCACACGATATGTGGTTCACTTTGCTGGTTTGGGTTTTTTGATTCTCCTCTTCCTCTCTCCTAAGTTCTGTCTTTTCAAGCCGCCCGCACCCCCACAGCCAAGCTTCGGGTTCTTTGTTCCCTACTTTGCAGAAGCCCCTGTCATCACTCCTGAATTCAGCTGTTCTTAGAAAATCCTGCCTTTGCCGTGGCCCTCCATGACAAGAACATGCATACCTCCCTACAGCCCTACCAATGACTGTCATTCAGTGCTGTGAATGAATCGGAAACATTCCAGAGTATCTTGGACTGTGTTGCCTGAGAGCAGGGCTGCCTGATGATTTCAGGCAACATTCTAGGCAGCCCAATCAGAGTTTATCAGCAGCACCGTTTACCCTACTGCAAATTATAAGGCATAGAAAGTTTTTGAGGGGAAACTACATTGCAGTTTATATTTTGGATTGGATTCCACAGCCTTGTGAAACATTTCTATCCCACATTCTTCTTTTATACTTAAACAAGGGAAAGGGGTATTTTTTACATTGAGTTTTACAGACTCAACAATAGCGCTTTTGCTTTTAAAGCTCCATGGGTTACCTGTGACAACAAAATCTTTTTCCACACTGGCATTTGCTGGGGAATTGAAGCGGAGTGCTGAACCTGTTTTCAACACATGTAGGTATATCAGAGGATGTTCTCTGGATTGGTTCAAGAAGTGGCCATCATGTCCAGAATACTGTCTTCCTCATAAAAAAAAAAAAAATTAGAAAGAGTTTTGTTTTCCATGCTTACTACATTCAGATTTTAATCCTGTTCATCCAAAGGGGTTTCTCTCAAGCTTTCAGAGCATAATTTATAGCATTTTGCAAAGAAAAACACTTCTTCAATCCTTGCGGGCTTTTTCTATGCATTTATTATGTGAATTAGCTAACTACGAGAACTGAGAAATAGTCCCATTTATAATGCAAATATAACATTTGAATGCGCCCCCCCCCCGCAACAGCACAAAATTAAATAAAACATTTCTTGATTTAAGGTACTTAAAAAAACAAAGCTGTCAAATACTTCTTATGTTAAAAGAGGTGCAATAAAGATGTAAAGCAGACAAAGGACCACAGTATCTTGAGTCACAGCAAACAAAAGGAACACTCTACAGAATACACTTTATTCTAAGGAAAATCGGAGGCTATTGAAAGGCTTTTATTACATGAGTGACGTGATTTGATTTGCTGCGTGGAGAATCCATTGGAAGGAGCCAGAGTAGAAGCAGGGAGCCCAGGTGGAAAAATTACTTTGGTTGGAGAGACGCTTCTCGAGCTTCCATGTACATGCAAATCACGGGGTGAGGGGGGTGTGTCTTAGCAAACTTCTAGATGCATATGATACTCCTGGTCATGGGCCGCACTTTAAGTAGTGAGGTTCAGAGTAGGCAGTAACAGTAGTGATGGAGGAAATGGGTGGATACCCAAGGAATTTAGACAATAGGTTTCTAAGACTAGCTGATTAATCAGGAGAAGGAGAAACCTAAAAGAGGGGCCCAGGAATGTGTGATGCAGATGCCAACACAAAAAAATGCTGCAAGAAGGCACCATAGGCAACCACGTCAGATGCTCAGATGAAAAAACAAAAGACCGCAAATGGCCCATGAGACACAAGTGCCCACCTAAGTCACTGGTGAATTTAGCACGGTTCCGGCAGAGTGGTGGTGGTACCCTCGATGGAGGGATCTGAGAGGGAAGACTGAGACAAGGAACTAGAACACACTTTGAAGAAGGGGGTGGAGGTAAGGAGATGGTTGGGATGGTAGCTGGAGAGCATGTGGTATAGGGGGAAGGTTGTCTTTTATCTTTCAAAATAGAAAAGACATCAGTGTGTTTAAATGCTGACAGGAAAGACTGGGTGAAAAAGAGACCAGAGATCCAGAAGTGACAGAAACTGAGAGGTATCGTGAGGTCCCTGAAAACAGAAGAGGGTTGCAAGGAATGGACTTAGATGCAAGGAAAGGGCTTGTGCCATATTGTGGCAAGAAGAGAGGGTCAAGACCAATGTCAGTAGGTTTGTAGACATGGAGGTGAGAGATGAGACATCTGTCATCTGATGGCTCTGTTCTTGGTGATGCAGGAGGGAATGTTGTCTACTAAGAGCAATAAGGCAGAAGTAGTGTGCTGGGCTGTGAGGGGACCAGGAAGGATGACCATCCAGAGTAGAACAGGTGGTTCCCATGGAGGGCTGGGGGTCTGTATGCAGCGGGCGATTTCACACCCAGTCTGCGATTTGCTGCAGGTGCTCAGCCTCCAAGGTACAGGAGAGTGAAGGTGAACCTTTGGTCCATCTGGGGTCAGCCATTTGCTGAGTGAATGTGTAAGGAAAGTCCAAAGAGAAACAGAGTTTGGTTTAAGCTAGCGAAAAGAATGTTCTATAGGCTATAGGGCCTGGCACCCGGTAGGTTTACAAGAATTGTACTCATTATCACAGGAGAAGAGAGACAATTCCCAGCCTCTCCTCAGCCTCCCCCCAGCCCTCCACCCCTCCTCCAAGACCACCCTCACCTACATTCCCCACCCCCATGATATCTGTACTGAATATGAAGGTACTTTTGGAAGTAGCTGTGATACTTATTTTATATAATCATTTATTTTTCAGTCATTTTATGTGTCCCCACTTCATCATTATCTAAATGAGAATGCAGAGTCTCAGAAATCAGGTTCTTTGTTCAGTTGTTCAGTTTACCGCTGGAATAATGTTCTGTGTAGCTAGTTCTGAGTTTCAACAAATGATAGTACTTAAGGAAAGTAATCATCGGATGAGCCACAGTATGTAATTTATCATCATCATCATCATTTTTTATTGAGAAAATCACATTTTTCTAAATATAGTGGCACATAAGTTCTCTCCCCCCCCCCCCCCGAAAGTGGTTTATTACTGTTACTAGTCTGTAAGGATTGCATTTGGTCTGTGATCTGGAAATTAAAAGTTTCTACGGAAGAAATAGATTTCAACATAAAGGTCACATTAGGAATGAGTAGTGACAAAATCAGAAACATGTTTCAGTACAAGGAATTAGGAAGTTGGGCAAACAATGTTGCTTCTTTTAAGTCTGAGTTTCTTCATCTGTGAAGTAAGGAAATGAGAAAATATGACTCCCAGTAGACTCTATGACTGTACGATCCAAATAGTAGCCACTCCCCACGTGTGGTTACTTAAATTTAAGTTTAGGGGCTCCTGGGTGGCTCAGTTGGTGAAGTATCTAACTCTTGACTTTGGCTCAGGTCACGACCTCGCAGTTCATGAGCTCGAGCCCCACATGGGGTTCTGTGCTGATAGCACAGAGCCTGCTTAGGATTCTGTCTCCCTCTCTCTCTGCTCCTCTTCTGCTTGTTCTCAAAATAAAAATAAAAATAAACTTTAAGTTAAATTCATTAAATTAAATAAAAAATTCAGCTCCTCAGTCACACCTGCCACATTTCAAGTGTTCAAAGGCCATATGCATCTAAGTACTCTACTGGACAGCATGGATATAGAACATTTCCATCACTGCAGAAAGCTCTATTGGACAGTTCTGGTCTATAATTTCAGTGTTCGTACAATTGCAACAGAGGGAAGATGTTAAGATGCTTCCATAAGTCATCGTGTTGTAATTTTCCACTTAACCATACGACACTACATTGCTAGACTACACCTACATCTCACATGGCCCAGTGGATTGGCGGGAAACTAAGGTAAAGTGAACCTAGTGCAATGAAATAATCTCTACATAATGGAGAGAAAATACATTCTAAACCCCTCTTGCTTTCCTTCCCTCCCTGCCCTTCTTCCTTCCTTTGCTGAATTTTTTATTAAGTGCCGAGACTTGAGTCAGCTATTGAGTATTCAAAAATAATTCAATCTGTCCACTTGATCAGGGAGAGAAATAGATGATGACAATACAAGGTATTTGGTAAGAAATATGATAAAATTATCTTTGATGTTCTTTAGAAATCTGGGGCGCCTGGGTGGCGCAGTCGGTTAAGCGTCCGACTTCAGCCAGGTCACGATCTCGCGGTCCGTGAGTTCGAGCCCCGCGTCAGGCTCTGGGCTGATGGCTCAGAGCCTGGAGCCTGTTTCCGATTCTGTGTCTCCCTCTCTCTCTGCCCCTCCCCCGTTCATGCTCTGTCTCTCTCTGTCCCAAAAATAAATAAAACGTTGAAAAAAGAGAAATCTATGGGAAGAGTATCTAACCCTAACTAATGAGTCAAGGGAAAGCTTTTCAGAAAGGGTGATACTTAAGGTTCGTGGTAAAAGATGTATATTAGTTATATGCTAACTAATTTGGTTGTAACTTAAAAAAAATAAAATTAATAAAATAAAAAAAGAGATGTATATGAGTTAAAATGGTTCCCAGGTGTGGATATTATGGTTTGCCATTAATTATGACCCTGTTAAAATGCAGCATCTGAAAGAAAGCAATTTGAGCAAAATGAATAACAAATAGTTTGTGAAAGTATTAGCATTATGAACTCTGTGGTATGTATAATTTGCAAAATCACTATCAAAATGTGAGAATGGTTCTTTTCATCCATTCTGAAGGAGTACCTGCCTAACACAGTCTTTTTAGCTGCTTCCTCCTGTGTAAGAAACAAACGGTGAGTTGATTCAGCTAATATGGTCCTATTCCCCTCCCCAACTGTATTTCTCAAGACTTTTACCATTTCAATAAATGTTGCCTCTTATATCTCTTAGTTTCTCAGACTAAAATCTTTGGAGTTATTCTTTTTTTTTTTTCTCAAGTTTATTTCTTTTGAGAGAGAGCACACGCATGCACGTGCATACAAGTGGGGGAGGGGTCACGAGAGGGAGAGAGAGAACCCCAAGCAGACTCGGTGCTGTCAGACACGGGGCTCGAACCCACAACTGTGAGATCATGACCTGAGCCGAAATCAAGAGTCAGACGCTTAGCCGACTGAGCCACCCAGGAGCGCCAGTTGGAGTTATTCTTGATTTCTCTATTTTTCTTACATTCTACATCTATTCCTTCAACAGATCCTATAGTCTTTGCCTTCAAAATACATTCAGAATCACCTCCCCTTTCCCTAGGTCCTGTAATACCTTTGTGGTCCAAACCACCCTCACTTCTTGCCTGGAGAAGAACAAGGGACTTCTCGTGGTCTCTTTCTACTGCTGCCTTTTCACTCTCAATTCTCTTCTCGGCAGCCAGAGTAACACATTTCAAATTTTTCAGATCACACCATGCCTCTGTTGAAATTCTTCAAAGCTTCCCATTTCAGAAAGATAAAGTCAAAAGTCCTCATCATAGACCATAAGTCCCTACGTGATCTGTTCAAGCTACTTCATCCCTCACAATTCTCTCCTGCCTACTCAGACTGTGCTAGCCCCACGGGCACCTGGCGGGCTCAGTCAGTAGAATGCGTGACTCTTGATCTCGGGGTTGTAAGTTGGAGCCCCACGTTGGGTGTGGAGACTACTTTAAAAAAATCTTTAAAAAATTTTTTAATGTTTATTTATTTTTGAGAGAGAGAGTGAAAGAGAGAGACAGAGAGAGAGAGAGAGAGTATGAGCAGGGGAAGGGCAGAGAGAGACTGAGACACAGAATCCAAAGCAGCCTTCAGGTTCTGAGCTGTCAGCACAGAGCCCAACATGGGGCTCGAACCCATGAGACGAGTCATAAGATCATGACCTGAACTGAAGTTGGACACTCAACCGACTGAGCCACCCAGGCGCTCCTACTTAAAAAAATCTTTAAAATTGCTCACTCTGTACAACCATCTCCACGATCATTCTTTTCTTTCTTTTTTTTTTTTTAACGTTTATTATCAAGAGACAGAGAGAGACAGAGCATGAGTGGGGGAGGGGCAAAGAGAGGGGGAGACACACAATCCGAAGCAGGCTCCAGGCTCTGAGCTGTCAGCCCAGAGCCTGACACGGGCTCGAACTCACAAACCGAGAGATCATTGGCCTGAGCTGAAGTTGGACGCTTAACCGACTGAGCCACCCAGGCACCCATCCACGATCATTCTTATTCTGCTTTTTCTTCAGTGCTCTTATTACTACTTGATATGTTATATATTTGCTTGTTTACTAGAATATAAACTCCACAAGAGCATAGATTTTGTCATGTTTACTGCAATATCTCAGTCCCTTGAATCTGACTCAGACATACGCAGTTTGTAACTGTTAATGAATGAGTGAATGGAATTCACATTTCATCTATAATTATATGACCTCCGTGGACTGCGAGTTCCTAATGACATGATTGTATGTTATTTCCTGCCACCGGCTCATCACCTGGAAGGTAAACTCACTATAAATGAAGTTCCTTAAATATACCTCCCTCATATTGAAAACTATAGGATCATAGGCCCAAAATGAATCTTTTTTTAAAAAGTGTTTATTTATTTTGAGAAAGAGGGAGAGAGCACAAACCCGCACAAGTGAGAGGGGGAGGGGCAGAGAGAGGGAGAGAGAGAATCCCTCTGTGTGATAGCACAGAGCCTGACACGGGCTCGATCTAACAAAACGTGAGATCATGACCTGAGACAAAATCAAGAATCGGACACTTAATCGACTGAGCCACCCAGATGCCCCCAAAATGAATCTTAAACAGTATTCTAACCTATAGCCATGCCTTCAGGAAAGACCTCACTTAACAGTTACACTGTTTTGAAAGGCTACCAGGGAAGAAGAATCCATCATTTTCTCTGTTTAACAACTTTTAGTTCCAGGAGATTCTTTCTTAAGCCAAATCTAAATCTCATTCACTTTTATTCTGGGATTAGAAGAATTTTAATAAATAAAACTTGTCAGTTATATTTTAATTATACCTCCGTTTTTAAACAAAAACAACTGGGGGTGCCTGAAATTCTCTCTCTCTCCCTCTGCCCCTCTCCCCTGCTTGTGTGTGCTCTCTCTTTCTCTAAAAAAATAATAATTAAATAAACAAAAACAATAGGTCAGTATATTTTTTTCTCTTTTTTATTTCCTTAAAAAAATTTTTTTTATGTTTATTTTCGAGAGAGACAGAGACAGAGTTAGAGCAGGGGAGGGACAGAGAGAGAGAGGGAGACACAGAATCTGAAGCAGGCTCCAGACTCTGAGCTGTCAGTACAGAGCCCCACACGGGGCTCAAACCCAGGAACTGTGACCGTGACCATGAGCTGAAGTCAGATGCTTAACCGACTTACGCCACCCAGGCGCCCCTTATTTCCTTTTTCATAAGGAATCCATAATCGTGGCAGAAAACACAAAGAAAAAAATTATCCATAATGCTCAAAGATAACCTATATAAATAGCCTTTTATATTTACATGTGTGTATACACATATGTTAATATTTTATTGACATATAACATACACAGAAAGAAGTACACAAATCAAAAATAGCTTGATGAATAATTCAAAGTGTAACGACCAGGATAGCAACTCAGGTCAAGAAATAGCCCCCTCATTCCCACAACTAATCATTATTCCTTTTATCTTCTCAGATTTAACTACTCTGGATGTCTAACACTGTAGATTAGTTTCATCTGTTTTTAAACTTCATGTAAGTGGAACCATATAGTACTCCATATGTGCAGTACTCTATTTGCCTTCTTTTATTCAACTTTATGTTTTGAGCTTCAGTGTGTACACACACATTACTTCCCTTTATTAAATCTTATCTTCAGGGGACCTAGGTGGATTGGTCAGTTAAGTGTCTGACTTCAGTTCAGGTCATGATCTTACAGTTCGTGGGTTTGAGCCCCACTTCGGGCTCTGTGCTGACAGCTCAGGACCTGGAGCCTGCTTTGGATTCTGTGTCTCCCTCTCTCTTTCTGTCCCTCCCCCCACTTGGGCTCTCTCTCTCTCTCAAAAATAAATCAACATTTAAAAATAAATAAATCTTCAGTTGTATTTGATCAGCTCTTTTTTTTTTTTCCAACGTTTATTTATTTTTGGGACAGAGAGAGACAGAGCATGAACGGGGGAGGGGCAGAGAGAGAGGGAGACACAGAATCAGAAACAGGCTCCAGGCTCTGAGCCATCAGCCCAGAGCCCGACGCGGGGCTCGAACTCACAGACCGCGAGATCGTGACCTGGCTGAAGTCGGAAGCTTAACCGACTGCGCCACCCAGGCGCCCCTGATCAGCTCTTAAACTCATCAAAAATTAAAAAAAAATTTTTTAATGTTTATTTATTTTTGAGAGACAGAGAGACAGAGCATGAGTAGGGAAGGGGCAGAGACAGACGGAGACCCAGAATCCAAAGCAGGCTCCAGGCTCCGAGCTGTCAGCCCAGAGCCCGATGTGGGGCTCGAACCCACAAACTGTGAGATCATGACCTGAGCCGAAGTCCGATGCTCAACTGACTGAGCCACCCAGGTGCCCCATAAACTCATCAAATTTTTAA